TTTATTCACAGCAGGACCCAATAGTAACGGAGCAGATAGCACAGAACGTCACATGTCAGGGCTTGACTAAAAATACACTGAATTTTCTTAGGGTGAGTCATCATACTGCTACCACCACCACCACTGCTACTACTACTACTAGTTGTAATAATAATATAATAATAATAATTTTAAATATTATTAACTGAACAGCTCTGTGTAATATTGGAGCCAATGCAAGAGCTGATGTGCCGACACAAGGTCTATGGTCTCAGTCCAAGGGATTGCCTAAAGACCACGCTGTTCCAAAAGTGGCAGAGGATTGTTGCTCCGCCTGGTCTGTCTCTCGATTTTTTATATTATCCTTTTGTTTGTTTGTTTTTAGTAAAATGATGACGATCGTTGATTAAAGATCATTTTTTTGTTTGAAATTTATAAAATAAAAACATAAAAATGGTTATAATTATAATATAAATAATTTAAACACTGTTAGCATCAGTTTTTATAATAATTTTTCATAATAAATAAATAATAAAATAGTTTTATTTCCTCGAAGAAACAGCTAAGCCAGCAGCTAAAAGGCGCAAGAAGAAGGCAAACACTTCAGCTGGGAACAACAAAATGAGTAACAACAACAATAATAATAACAATAACTCCCCCAGTCCTTGCCCATCCCTGGTTTCGGTTTCTAGGAGTAAAAAATCCTCCGCGGCTAATAATAGCAACAGCAACGGTAGTAATAACAATATAAACATTAATAGCAGTAATAGCAATAGCGCTAGTGTTGCCGGCCTAAATACGGTTTTTCCTAATTCTAATTTAGTTCAGGACGTTATGTTAGTGGGCGAGCCGACGCTAATGGGCGGGGAATTAGGAGAAGAAGATGAGAGATTAATCTCGCGTTTGGAGAACTCTCAATATAAGGCTCCGCCCACCGAGGTCGATGATTTGTCGATGGACTGCAAGCCCATTCTGCAGTTGTCCAATCAGCATCAAGCTAATTTGAATTTGAACAATTTACATTGAGATATTTTTAGACTAATATATGAGTGTGTTATATATTGATCAGAGATGGCTGACATGTTTATGATATCACGTTTGTTTACAGCATATCTTGTTTTTTATTATTATTTACATTTACATCCTTCTGTTCATTTATTTTTTTATGTTTTTTTTTATTTTATTTATAAATTTAAAAGTATTTGGTCAAACTATGAAATTATTATTGATGTTGTTATTAGTTTGATTTTGTTAATTGCAAATAATTTAAGTCACTGTTTTTTCGTTTTCAAATCAATAATCTCTGTGTAGTTATTCTCAAACTAATTTTTTGGCGTGTATTTTTGGTTTATTTTCTTTTTGTCCCTCTCTGTCTTACTCTCCGTTCTTTCTCTCTCTCTCACTCTCTCTTTCTTTCTTTTATTTATTTATTTCATTACATTTTTTTCCTAAAAACAGTTTAACTTTAACTCAAATGCAATAAACAGTGCATTTTTTTAAATATTTCTATTTAATTTTTATTATATATATATATATATATATATATATATATATATATATATATATATATACATAGCGTCTGGCTTACTTCTATACTATGATATATACTGTACCACTATTAGTTACTTAGTTGGTTAAGAGCCAAATTTATTGTGGTGTGTATGCCTGTATGTCTGCGTGTATGCTTGTCTATTTATTCATAATAGTATTTATACTTACTACTGTTTTCGTTTATCTACTTTTACCAATGATGCATAAATTTAGTAAATATCTGTATGTATTAACACTTTACAAATAGCTCTTGTAATCATATTGCATTCTTTAATGATACATATTTTATAATGGTTATAATAACATAACTATAGTGGTATGATTGGTTGTAATATTTTTTAGTTTAACAGTCATTTTATTTGTTTAAATTTCTAGTTTTGACGTTGTGAATTTTATTTTTTTTTTTATTTTTCTGAAAAAAAGTCTCTTTTTAAATCAATTTAGTTTCTTTTAATCATTTATAAGAGTTATATACTCAAATACTAAAATAATTTTTGTAAAAATGTATCATAAGTGTGCATTGTTCACTTCATAGAATTTTTACAGAAATTTGTATTGTAATTCATGATTTGGAGAATATATATACATCATATATATAGAATATAACATTGTATACTATATAAATGGTGTGAATTCATTATGAAGAATTTAAAAGATTTGTTAGGCGCATCATCATTTTTTAAAAAAAAGTTAGATTCTCTTTTAAACAAAACATTTATCTCTAGATGATTGATGATGGTGATGCTGCACGGCCTCGGGGTCACTAATTAATTTCTTAAATTAGTAAGTATTTTTTTATAACTTTTTGAATCTATTTATAATTTCAATAAAGTGAACTATGTGATCATTTTTCAATAAACAATTTAAACTTTTCTATTTAATCATCTTCTTTTTAAATTTTAAGTTTTAAAAAAAAAATATGTGGGTTAAAAATTTAAAATACTTTACAAAATTTTTTAAAATAAATCATATATATGGCATTTTCTGCATTGAACGCCATAGTTCAGTTTTACAATCTTTTTTCTAATATTCATTGATTTAGTTTTAGTTAGAAATGGTTGAATTAATATTTAATTAAAACTTGAAATTGGTCATAAAATGTAAAAATTACAAATTGATCACCAGATAAAATTTTATGGTTGGCTAGATTAAAAGCTGAAAACCCACGTCTCACTGATCAAAATCCCCATCATTTGTTTACTCATACAAATTATTTTCTAAATTGATCTATTATACTAGTAAGTAGGTAGGTATTAATAGCTTCTTCCATAGTAATACAAAACAAACAGCTATTTAATTATTAAATAAATTCAAGCCATACACATACATACACTACATACATACATGTATGCATACATACATACACATACATACATACATACATACATACATACATACATACATACATACATACATACATACATACATACATACATACATACATACATACATACACTACATGTATGCATACATACATACATAGACATACATACACACATACATACCTACATACCTAAATAATAATTTTATTAATTGGCTTGTAAAATTTCCCAATAATGAAGCTTTTGTTCTAGTTTCTCTTTCAGTAAACAGCTTTACATTAAATACAAATTGAATGGCTGCTGCTGTTACTACTACCACTACTACTACCACTACTACTATTACTACCACTACTACTACTAATACTACCACCACCACTACTACTACCACTATAACTATTACTACTGCAACTACTACTACTACTTCTACTACTACTACTACCACTGCAACTACTGCTACTACTACTACTACTACTACTACTACTACTACTACTACAACAACTACTACTACTAATGAGGATTGTAATGAAATATCAGTATCAACATAACACTGAAAGAAGTAGTATTACAGTTTTAATAATGATACACTCTATAGCAATTCATTTATTACCTTCAGTTCAACTGTTATGCCTCATAAGCCATTGCACTTCACATGCTTTGAGTTGAGACACTTTTGAATGAATAGAATAGTCCTATATAAAGTATTGATAAACCATTGTTTAGCTTAATTAAGCTCAGCTTCTTGGCTATGATTTTGTCTGTTTTACTTAGCCAATACAACTACATAAGACATTGTATTATTATTATTATTAATATATATATATATATATATATATATATATATATATATATATATTATATAGTATAAAGAGAAAGAGTAGGGCATATGTAGAGAGAGAGAGAGAGAGAGAGAGAGAGAGAGAGAGAGAGAGAGAGAGAGAGAGAGAGAGAGAGAGAGAGAGAGAGAGAGAGAGAGAGATATGTTCTATAGCAGATACATCTAATGCTGTTTTAAATTCAATTATGGCAGTTACAGTTGTGTATAACTACCATTAATACACAAGAGAGATTTGTTTTATAAGAAATTTTGTTATTTTTAAAATCTAAACACTGAATTATCTATTTATTATCATTTTGTGTTGTTGTTTAATTTAATAAAATCAAAGTTTGGCTGAAAATCGAACAATCGAAATCAATCTGA